CCCCATAGTCAGGCCGTCGCAGAACGGTGCGAGAGCACGCACGTACAGTAAGAAAAATCGTTCCATGGTTCACAGTGTCTGGACCCAGCGTTTGACCGCATCCGCGTTCCATACGTGCGTACGGACAAGCGCGATGGACCTTGCCACTACGCGCAAGCGGACGCGCTTTCAAGCTCGGTGGGAATGTCATAGTACAGTAATATTCTTGGAGAGTGAAGGTGCAGGAAATGCCCAGTCTCTCATGATCTCCTCCAACTGAGCTAGAGCTGCCCTGGCATGATCCCTGGTCAGCTCCTCTCTCCCTCTCTCCCTCTCCACTGTCTTCAGGAGACGATACACGTCACGCAGAGATTCTCCCAGGACCTCCACTGTCTGATGAGACAGCCCCTTCAATAAGAGAGTCAGGACGAGGAGCGCCGACTGCTGGACTTGAGGGGTGTGGTCATACTGCAGCAGCTGAGTCACACAGCCCAGAACCTGTTTCAAAACATAATAGCAAATAGCTGAGACTTATAGTGCACATTACTATATACCAAAAATAAATTCTGTACTTTAAGGTCTTCTTTCTAGTACTCAAATGTGATCAGATACTGCTTGTAAGCTGCATAAATTGCATTAAGACGGTCTATCAAAAAACTATACTAAATTCTCAAAGCCAACATAATGTATACCTCATGGTGGTATTTGTGGAATGAGTGTCCCAGAAGCCTGCAGATGTCTGCCAGGTTGGAGAGGGCACTGGCTCTCACCAGAGGGTGCGGGTCTCGAGAGTTGCTCAACACTGCAGCCAGGAGCTGGTCTGAGTAGTGAGGCAGCAACTCCCCGCACTCCCGCGACACTCGAACCAGCGCCTCGCCCAGCTTCAACCTCAGTTCAACACACACTCCTGTTGAACCAGTTCTTCCGCACTGCTCAGAAAGTGTTTCTTATTCACGTTCAGTTTCCCGGTCTGTTTGTCGACTTTATCCCATCCTCTGTCGCGGCTGTGAGTCGCTGAATAGAGCGTACCCCTCACAGAGAATGGTCAGAACCTTCTGAGGTTCCCTGGAGGCCAGCCCCACCAACCCTCCTATGGCAGGCAGGTAGATATAAGAGTCAGAGTGACTGAGAGCGTCTCTAAAGATTTGCAGAAGACGCTCAGAGTGGGCCAAGGTTTCTCTGTCGCCAGATGTGACAAGTCTTGCCAGCGAAGACAGCCCGTGGCCTTTGACTGGTATTGCTGGGTCCTGAGTTTCCACCATTGCTTTCTGAAATCTACTTGAATTCTCTCCTCCACCTTCTTCTTCGTTAATCTCTTCTTGTTGTTGGGATGAGGTACATTTGCTATTGGTTTCTGGGATCTCTTGAATCAGTTTTCTCACAGGTTTTTCATTCTCAGCAAGTTCCCTGGCGCTATTGTCACTGGCTCTCTGACTCACCAGCTGAGCATCCTCAGACTCTCTCTGTAACTCAGCCACCGCTCTGTCCCTCACTCCTCCCTTCCTCCCCTCTGCCATCTCCCTCATCTCCCCCGACCAGACAGCCCCGAGAGTGGCAATGCAGACCCTGAGGTCTCCAGCCAGGGCTGCCAGCTCCATGTCAGGGTAGCCAGTTGATACAATCTCCAGTGCTGTCAGCAGACCTGACAGTACACCTCTCTGCTCCTTATCCAGCTACAGAACATGGGGAAAATTCTCTTCTTAAAGTGAATATAGCTGTATATAAGGGCTAAATTTAGAAATGTTACTCTCTACAGCCGTCACCTATTGTCCCTATTGTTTTGTTCCATCTTTAGAAAACTTTAGTCCTTATATAGTGCCACATTCCCTTTAAGGCAACACTACTAGTTAGCATGTTAATTTGGCATTTGCGGTAAAAGTTCAACCTGATTGGCTCCAGTGAGAATGGCAGAGAGGTAGCCCAGAGCTATACTAAGAGTGATCGGTCCACCCAGCATGTGATTCAGGTCTGGCCCAACCACCAGCAGTTGACAGATGGAGATGACGAAGACAAAGACTCGTTTGTTCTTGGTGCGATGTGGGAGTGGCACTCCACGGCTACTGCTAGTATCTCCAGGAGTGCCGTGGTGTCGGTCTGCTCCACGACGTGGCTGGTGCTCTCCTCTAACAGAGCTGCCGCGAGGTAGAGGGCCAGGGAACGGCGGTACGATCTCCTCCCGAGTCACCTCGCCAGACCTCCTCTCAACATCCAGTAGAACTGAACTGGCTGACGTTTCCGATGATTTTGGATGTTCTTCAACCGATGAGCGTGACTTTATTTCTGTTCTAATCCTCGAAACTTGTGTCTGGTAGCCGAGATCTGTACACAGAATGGCCACTACACACGTTAGGCACTCCATAAAGAACGGGCCAATGAGCTGACTGGAGCAAAGTACTGCACCCACCAAAGTCAATGATTGCCCGTCCATCTCTCTCCATTCTCTCCACACTCCACACCTCCCCCTCCTCCCCAACTCCCACTCTCAGTCCCCTCTCTTCAGATGGATAAGTCAGTGTAACCTGAGGCGACACAGTTATCCACTTTACTCCACCAGCTGTGGATGGTGGCATGCCTGCCACGTGCCTCAAAAACTGCACTTTGTCCATCGAGTCGAGAGAGTTGATAATAGTGACCAAAACCGACTCCACATCAGACCTACGGACACAAACAGTATGAAGTATTTATGAAGAGAGCATAATTCAGCAAACAGTACTTGAATTTTTTGGAGATCTTTCCGGCTTCATTGGTGGCCTGCCAGATCTTGAAGATGAGTGGAAGGAAAGGGTGGAGCTCTGGCATCAGTGGCGAAGATGGCTCAACGTTACCACACAACTGATACAAGAGAGAGTGAGAGAGTGTGTGAGAGAGAGAGAAGATTCATTGCATAAAAACAGTGAGGCTTCGAGCTATGAACTTACTCTATGAAGGCTTGCAACAGTGAACTCTACAGCTTTACCAAGATCAGTGGGCGGCTCACTAAAATCACCACCTGGAAAACGAGGAGAAAAAGACCTCAACAAAATGGCAGAGAAGGAGCACGAGCCAACAAACCTGCAGCTATGGTTCTGAGGGGAGCAGTGAGAGGAGGACGACGTGGCTACGTGTTAGAGCTGGCTGCGTCTTTATCATCAGAGATAGTGTGGCAGCTGATACCTGCACAGTGGCCCTCCCCGCCACACTCAACAACTTCAGCAACTGTGCACAGAGGAGAAATAACTTGCCACACAACCGAAAATTTGCAGCGAAATACTTCATGTATCAGTGAATGCAATTTGGTCTTGCTTTTTAGGCTGGTTTGTAAAAATAAACGACATTAATTTTGCGAAACTTTTTGTGTACCTGAGGTCCAATGATGGAGTAGTAGTGGGAGAGAGAAGGGACTTGTGATGGGCAGCGAGATATGATCTTAGCCACTGCCTGCACCCTCTTCCAATCACCATGGCAACCCGACCCCACCCCCTTACCTAGACCCATCAACCATTGAGAAATGCCGATAAAAAAAGTTCAGCTGTTCTCTCCCACACTGACCTGCTGTGGCACCAAGTATACCCACTAACACTGAATGGACGCCATCTTCTTTCATCAGCCTGTCTGACAGAAGGCCCCCACAGGCCCTCTGGAGCCAGTTAAGAGTTCCCCCTGACCCCCTCTGGTTTCCCTGCATTCCCGACCCCCTCTGGTTCCCCTGCATTCTCGACCCCCTCTGAGCCCCCTGAATCCTCAGCAGTTCCCTGACTACCATTGGTTGGTGAAGTCTGTCAAGCAAACAAGTCAACTCTTCTTTAACTTCACTCAGCACTGGACAACTCCCAGCATGACTACCACCTTCCCATGAACAGCCAGTATCTGCATCTCCTCTACCGCGTCCTCCCCTCCGTTCCAGAAGTGCAGTCGACCGTGAAGGTGGTGTCGACTGTGAAGAGTGACAGACTTGCAGGAGAGCCACGAGAGCAGTCGACAAATGCCGGGAGACGACAGAAGGCCCGATCACAGGTGTGTGAAACAGTCGTACCAGAGGTCGACAGTGGTGGAAGAGGAGGAGAGAGTTTGTGATGGGATCAGCTCTGCTCTTGGTGATCTGAGGAGCCATTTCTCCCAGCTGCGCCTGGAGAAGGCTGTCAGCCCCGGGCAGGAGGAAGGGGAAGATTCCCAGAGCTACCACAAACTGAAGAAGAGTGTAAATACTCTTCTCTTCTGTTGAACTCAACATAGCTTTTGGGGTCAGGCTTTTGTTTATGTTCCGAGGGTGACTGGTTGTGTTCCTGGGCAGAGGAGAGGTCCTCTCCATGTGCCTGTTTGAGTGCTTCATCAAGTAGGGTCAACAGGGCGGCTGCTTGTTTCGTAAACTTGCAGTACACGGCAACTTCGTCCCCTAACGTATCATACTCGGGAATTTTGAGGCAAGAAGTCGCTGATTCTAGCTCGTTTGTCAGCTCTCGTTCCCGGGAAAAGCTCTGAAATGTATCCAACGTCTCTTCCAATGATAGGAGAACGCTAGTTCCTTCTTTTGGCGGAGTGAGAAGCTGCCTTTATGCACCGAAGGACTCCAGAGAGGTCCATCGGCATCGTTCTTTTCTCTAAAAGATGCGCACCAACATCATCACGTGGGTCGAGGTCGAAGGTCGGGAAAGTTTGAAAAATGGCCGCAGCAGAGAGCGGCGTTGCAGAGGCTTCTGCCTCGACAGAGACGACCGGTCAGACAGGCTCAGGAGCCAGGGTGTCGTGGAAGACCAAGTACCTGACTCTGAAGGCCAAGTGCGAGCAAATGGACCAGGTACATACAGCTGCAGAAACATAGGCAACGTTTGAGCAAAGTACAACCCAATTTAGTCAAACGACGTGCTGTACTCCAAGTCGAGGCAGATCTACAAGATGATCCAGAGAGCAGAGACCGAGAAAAAGTACTGCAACTCCTCAAATTTTTCATTCTAATTTCTCTCTCTCTCCCACAAGGATGTTGGTGAGGCATCTGGAGCAGTATGAAGTATATCCACAAGTCGAGAGGCATGTGACCTCACTCCCGAGGTCGAGAGTGGGCGATTCCTTCTCTCCCCCTCCCTCCTTCCCCCTCTCCACCTCCCTCCCTCGCTCCATCTTCACCTCGCCCACCCCTGACCCCAATGAAACAGGTCTGGTAACAGTGGGAAATTTTCAAGAGAGAAATCTTCAGATATTTCTGGTTATTAAACTGTCTGGGAACATTTTCTCCACAAACTTTTCAGCTGGTTGATTATTTTCTTACCTGCAGCAATCGATCTTTAATGTATTCAATTCTGGTTTGCGAGAAAATTTACTGCTTGCATATTTCCTCATCACCAAACATGCTCTCATCTAGAGTTTGTGCAGAGTCTGAAACAAGACATTGGAGCTGTCTCTTCTCCCTCCCCCACTCCCCCCTCCCTCCCTCCTCACACCCCTCACCAACTGCACCCACCTCCCTCCAAGAGGCCTCACGTAGCTACGCCCACCCAATCAACCAACTCTTCCTCCTCCTCTAAGACAAAGAGAACCCCGAAAGGTGCAGCGAAGAGTTCACCCGCCAGTCGACGGAAGAAAGACCAGGACTCCAGCGCCCCGAAAAAGCCGTCAAACGCGTTTTTCTGGTTCTGTCAGGAGCAGCGTGGGAGTCTGGAAGATCAGTTCAGGGGAGAGGGCGTGGCAGGTCAGCACAGCCTCACCAAGATCCTGGCTCAGAAATGGGGCGAAACCCCCACTGATGACAGGAAGGTGTGTACATGCAATACATACATATACATTTGATGCAGTGTTGTTGTGCTCTAATTAGAACTCCCTAAGGTTGGCTTAGGAAATCCCCCTTCTTGCTGGCCAATACTACTGGGAATGGCTTCTCTCAACAAATCACATCTACCAAGCACACGTTTATATGTTGAAACCCAAACGGCTGGGTTGCAGCTGACATTTCCCCCCCTGTCTGTTTCTGTGAGTTCTGTTTTCCTCTCCAGAAGTACTACCTGAAGTACAACGAGGACAAGAAGAGGTATGAGAGGGAGATGCAGGCCTACCACCAGAGGAAACACGAGCAGCAGATGATGCTCCAGGAGCAGGTTCAGCAGCAGCTGTCGTCAGCCACCAGCCACTCCCCTGGAACCTAGTCCATCAAACTTCTTCACCCTAACCTCACACCATCCGTCTTCATGCTAACTATATTATCTATTCCTTTACGTACTAATGATCTCAATCATTCAAAACATCATTCTACTTTTGTGAATCCTGTCCACAATCATGCATCACATGACCTCTATATAACACCCCATGCTACTTTCTGTCAAACTTTCACTTTTATCCTTCTCGCTTTCACTACTCTTATTTCATGTGAATCACTGACACAATGTGTTTCATATAATGAGAGGTTCCATGTAATTACATCAAAGAGCAATAACAAGGTCCACGTAATGATCATTTTAATACGAAATCCAAGAGAAATGCTGTCCAAATGGCTTCCACAGGTCACCGACTGACGACATCAGTAGAAATTGTTGGAGTTGTAACTAAAGTCTCCACCATAGCTGTCCATATAGCCTCCCCTGTCATAGAAAATATGACATCATGATTACATCACAGTAAACACATACTTGACTACATCATCTGAAACTATCAACTTAAAGGTGACATCATCATTACACGATTAATTACCTCATTCCTCCATAGCCTCCTCCACTTCCTCCAGTGTGCATGGCGCGGCCTCGCGAAGTGGCCTGAAGTTTACAGATCATCGGCTGTCCGTCCAGGTTCCTCTGATTGTACTTCTTGAACGCCTCAAGAGCATCGTCCTTGTACTTGAACACCACCTCCGCTACACCCGGCGCCACCATGGCAACCGTTTCCAGGGAGCCCACCGCCCCACATAGCTCCTGTGTTAGATACACAGACAATGGTGTGCATTAAATAGAGTGTTACCAAAGAGAATTAAATGGACTATCCCCAAAGAGAAGTGTCAATTTAAACAAAGAGGTATGAATGTGCATTATTTGGAGTAAAGGCAATGAGTGTGCATTAAATGGAGTGGTGATAATGACACGGTTATAGGTTAAACTCACAGCGATGTCATTCTTGGAGACTGTGTCGGAGAGGTTAGAGATGGTCATGGTTGTCATGGTGGTGATTCCCTTGGAGCGAGAGAGAGCAGCGGCAGGGGCCGCGTGGTTCCCGGCTCCGTAGCCGCCCCCCAGCGAGGGGTCCATTCCAGAAGACGGGGAACGGTTGTAGCGCATCTGCATCTGTACCACAAGATAGATGGATGTAAAGTGAAAAGCCTATTCTTTCCT